TTTCAGTCATTATGCAAAGGTAAAATGGTAAATGGCATGTATGTATAGCGCTTTACTTAGTCCCTAAGGACCCCAAAGCGCTTTACACTACATTCAGTAATTCACCCATTTACACACATACAAAATGTACTGTTTATAAGATTGGGGAAACCTGCAGTCAGCTGAGACTGAAGAAGTCACATAGGATGGGTGACGAAACGTTTCTCCCACTGAAAACACTACGTCCAGATGAACAGAATCAACTTTGGAGATAAGCAGAATGTTATTTCAATCTATATCAACAATGCAGCTTCAAATCAGAAGTGAGTCAAAAAAAAGACCACAATCTGATTAGTGAGTCAGTTAGCCATTGCTAGCCGTCTTTTATTTCGTTGTGTCAAAATTAAATATATTTAGGACATTTTTTATATTTTTAGTAGGATATTTTTAGGATACCCAGCATTATTTTTGACTTAGTTTCTTCTCCAGAGTTTTAAATCTGTTACTTTTCTCTCTCACTAGACCTCACTTGTACATGAGAAAACAGATGCACCATATTTTATTTATAGACCACAACAGGGTAAGTTGGTTGTACATCCATCCATTCCGTTCGAGGAAAAGCTAAACAGACCTCATTTAGCATGAGGGAAGCACATTCACAACACACTGAATTCCTCTCAAGTCATTTGGAGTTACGCAAGTGCCTTCACTGTGCATGAGATAAGCCTTCAGAGACAGAAACAGTCTTGTTTTTGTAAAGTAATATCTGTCAGCCAGAAGACATTGTAAGCATCTTTCTACTGTAGTGTAACCCGTAAACCTACATCACGCTGACATATTGAGAGCAGGTAGCTTTCTTGATGTTGTTATTGCTTCTAATTATGACATAGATATTCCATGCTTATGGTGTGTGGTGTGTCAGAGGATTAAAAGGATTAATGTGCAAACAGACGCACTTCTGTGTAGCCCGAGCTAAAAAGTTGAAAACCTCTTGTATTTGTTGCAGTTTTTTGTTTTTGCAGTTCAGTGCCCGGACATGTTCTGTTCTTATCAGCTGAGTCTCAGGACAACGTGTCTAATAAGATGCATCGTGAGCTCGTCTTCTTTGGTCCGAGTCCAGTGAAAACACCCACAAACTCACCTTCTGTTGTCATGGAGATTAGATGATTCTAAAATGACACCATTTTTGTTCTTCTGAGTTCAGAGTTCAGAGTTCAAGGCTAATTCTGACACGTTCATGTGGCTGTTAACATTTTCTTGGTTTTTTTACATTTTTGGTCACATCAATTAAAACACCAGTTTTTCTTTAACTCCATGGAAAAAGATGGAAAGCATTTCTGTATTACTTTATAACAAGTTACAGTTTTACCAAGTACACCACTGATGTTAGAATTCTAAATATGGACAAATCAGTGCACTGATTTTTATTTCCATGTCTACTGAGTTTATTCAACTTTATCTGGCTTTCAACATATGCCCCACCCCCTGCATTCGTAATACACGTTCCAGTTTGCAATGAGACGGTATGTCATGTAGTCAGGCAAAAACCTTTTGATCTGCATTAGAGGCAAGTTTACAGTAACTTTGAGTAATCTGCAATATATGAACTATGTTACTCTGCTTCCCATTAAACAAATAACATACAACGATTTAGTGTGCTGTCACCTTTAATGTTTTGTGGAAGAGTTATCAATGAAGGATGAGCTCATAAAGACTCAAGTGTTGAGCTGCTTAAGCAAATAAGTTATGATACAGAGAGGAGAAAAGCCTGTGTGCCAACTGGCAGTGTAGGTATAAATACACAGGGATTGAAAGATGAGCTGATGGGAAACAGCATTTAGGACTGAGTGAGGACGTCTGTTTCTCTATAGGTTTCTGCCCACTATGTCTCTTTCTATGTTGCTCAATAGCAAAGCTGTTTTCTTGTTTTATTTTCTCTCACAGTCTCAAGTCTGTCAGTCTAAAGTCTTACTTCAAGACTTATGTCATTTGAAAAAATTCTGAATCAAGCCTCATGTGTATTAAAGGACATTTACATTAAGTCTCAAAGATTCTGAGTTCCTAAACCTTAAATGTCTCATAGAAGTCCACATCATTTCTGAAGACTCAAGTCCGAAGTCTTTTAAAAGCAGTCTTAAGTCATTTATAAACAGTCTCTTAGCTGTTCTTTCCCAATTTAACTGAATCACACGAAACCTGTTCTAAATCCTAATGTTCGTAGAATTACTTGAGTCCTGTTGTCCTTTTGGTGTTGGACGAAAAGGACAAAAGCTCCTTGTGTAGTGTCTTTGTGGGCACTTGGCTTCCAAATGTTATACTGACTGTCTCAGAGCATTTCAAAAGAGGCTTTGCTGAATTATTGTTTCTGTGGTTATATTTTATTCCTCGAAACATGACTCCACCTATCCATCCACTCAGAGTTACCATGTAGTGGTGTTTATTCCATCAAATCTGAGCATTATCTCATTGTAGACAGGTTGCCAAATTTCTGAACCGGATGAAAGGGAATTGATTGCAGCTGCTGGAAAAGTTTGTCTTCCTGCGAAAACATTCCTGCTTGTATTGTTGTTTTATTAGCACATCATAAGCCCTGGTAGAGCTTGATGAAAAAAAGAGAAATTGTGCAAATGCTCCACAAAAGTTATCCAACATATCATTCAGAATCAGAATCACAGTAAAATGTTGTAGTTTTAGTGTATGTCAGTGAAGAAAATTATTGCTGTACCCAGTGGGCTAAACCTTCTTTCAAGCTCATCCCCAGGCCTGGTTCCAGAGTGGGACCCTGGTATCCCTGTTCCTGGGTCCCTTGATATTTACGTAGAGGGTCATGTGAAAAAGTCTTCTTTTGTTTTGTTTTTTTTGACAAAGTTGCCTTGAGAGACCCTACAAAAAGCCCCTAGTAGCACTTGGACACACCTCTACCACACTAAGGTGGCGATTTACAGAGGATACTTTTTTCTTTTTGTTAATGTTTTTAAAAAGCAAAATGAATGCAGACATTTTTTTGTTTAATATGTTTATTTTGATTAAATTTATGTGATAACAATAAAAAACATATACTGATTTGAGCACATGAGGGATGCTGGTCATTAACCAGTTAATGACAGAAACTTAGGCTTGGTTAAATTTACTGGTTTGACCTGTCTACCAGTGAAATGGATCTTAATTACCACTGGAAAAACTCATCAACACTGTTTTTATGGAAGTTTGCTGACACACACCTTCCAATGTTCATGCAAGTATGTGTGTGAATTTGTGCTAAGAGCATGCGCTAGAGACATGGACAAAAGCACAGCCATGAATACTCATGCAATGAAGCTCCTGGTTCACAGTTTTTGTGCTGATGTTAAGAGCAGAAGAAGTTATTAAGTCAGCAGAGCATTAGCTATTTCTCATCCACTATGTCCCTCTGTACTCAGCAACATCACTCTACAACTTTACGTGGTCTGCCACTTGGTCCTTAAAAGCTTTCACTTTGCATCAATGCCGCTTACAATTGATGATGGAATATCCGGGAGGGAAGAAATTTCACAAACTGACTTGCTATTATAGTGCCACGCTCGAGTTCAGTGAACTCTTTAGTACCAAACATTCTTTCACATTCTTTTGTAAAGGCAGACTGCATGGATAGGTGCTTGATGTTATACACTTGTTGCAATGGAATTTACAAAACACCTTAATTCAAAGATTAAGAGGTGTGGCACTTTTGTCCATATAGTGAACTTTTGGACATCCCTGCAAGTTTAAGTGTGTAAAGGTTCACTGAGCAGTGTCCAGGCATGACACAAAGCAGCACAAACTTCTATCATGTGTCTTTCCTGTTGTTTTTTCCAGAAAGAAAGAATTGGGGGGAAAGGCAGGAGGGGTTTTGTTTTTGCTAATGGAGAGGAAAAATAAAGCAAAGCTTTCCCTCAGGGCATAGCAGCTCTGTGATGTCATATGGTTGCTATGTTTGCTGTGTGTAATCAGGGTGAGATCCTGTCATGTTTTGTTCAAAGGCAGACAAGCAGACACGGTTTATTATTTGCACACGGGCTAATAACACACCCATGCTCACGTGACCATACTGAAGAAAACAATCAGACGTCTCAAACTGGCTCTGCGTACCACAATACCGTGTCTTTCTTTTACTTTAAACTCTGTGGATTTTTCTGACTTTGTTTTATAAAAGTAATATAAAAGAGATTAATTATAAAAGTATAGAAGTGGCTGTCTAGATTTAGATTAAAACTTTACCCTCGTCTCTTAAACTAACTTGTGGAGTTCCCATTCTAATGGTGCATGCAGATTTGTCTTTGAGCATAGAGCATACATTTTGAAGTTAGGAAGACTTTGTGTTGCATCCACCACCAGTTTGGATGATTTTGTTTTTTTGTTTTTTTATGCGCCCTAATTTCATTGCTGGGTTGTTCACAGGTTGTGAATCAGCTGATTGGTGGGTGTGTTGCATGTGACTGATGTGTATTTTCCCAATCAGGTGGTTTTTTTTAAAGTTCATTCCCCTACTTTTTTTTCTCCACATTTCTTGTATTTCTAGGGTGTAGCATTTAATAAAGTGGATGCCTAACAGGTTTCTGATATGTTGTTTTAGATCTCTGAAAAATGCAAAATTCATTCACTATCATCCAAAGTTTCCACGGTTGTTTATTTTGGCCTTTTGTGGAGCTGTTACTAACTGAGGTTAAGTTATTTTTAAATAAATAGCCAAGGGATAACAAGGCAATATCTTCTGCCTCTTTCACTGTGAGCAATAAAATTATAGTATAAAATTCATTTGTTTTTTCATATCTTTGTTTTGTTTACTATACAGTCCTATGTCTGTTGAATTAAATCTATACACTATATATTCATTTGGCTTGCTTTTAAAAGCTGATAATTAAGGAAAAAAGGGAGAACAAATTCTGATGTCTGCTTCTTTTCCCTTTTTTTATCCATTTGGTTATTTCCTAATTCCACCCTTCCCTACATGTTTCTTGTCTCCTGGCTATAACCTCTGACTATTTGTTCCTCTCTTTTTCCAGTATGTGGCTGTGAGCTGGCCCAGGGAGGATTCTTTGTGCGGCAGGGTGACTACATCTGTACTCTGGACTACCAGCGGCTGTATGGAACTCGCTGCTTCAGCTGCCAGGACTTCATCGAAGGGGAGGTCGTGTCCGCGCTGGGCAAGACCTACCACCCACGCTGCTTTGTTTGCACCTCATGCAAGTAAGAAATTAGCATGTGGAGCAGAATGCAAATAACAGATTTCATTTTTTACTTTGGTATTTCCTAAAACTAGCAAGTGGGAGAAACATGGCTTTGAGAGCAGCTTATTAAGCACATAAAGTCGCTGCCATTAATATAGTGTGACCTTCTAAGCACCACTGAGCCATGTGTCAATAAATCGGGCCTGCGGCACTTAAAAAAGGAACTTTGCAGTTCTGCTGACTTTCATGACATTAACAGAAAACTGACAAAAGCAACCAAATTTTTGAGACTTTGCAACTGAGATGTGTTTTTGAAAGCATACAATAACGTGAAAAGG